TCTTGATCTAACACCAAATTCATGTAACTAACTAATAGGGAAATGTGTAGCAGCTAGAGGGGAGAATCTACAATCAGATCTTGGGAGTTAAAGTGTTAAACAACAGGGGCTAGATCCATAAATTATATATTCATGCTGCTTGCACTTACCAGTAAGTAAAAGCTCTGAGCATCCAACAAAGATTAAGTAAAATTAGATAAAGAAAAACTGCTAACTTGTTTTCAGGATTAGCAGTACCTTTTATAAATAATTTGGAGGTTACTAGGAGAACCTTTTAAATGTTATGTATTGTATTTGCTTGCAGCATTCATAGAAGACAGGGCAAGAGGATTGCAATTTTTCATCAACAATATGATGAATCACTCTGAAATATGTAACAGGTATTGTTTACTCAGAGTGCTATTTGTATGAAACTATGTCTGTGTTTTACCCCATTTCAAACTGTATTAAAAAGTATTATTTCCCTGACAAAATTTAATGCTCTTGTAATATATGTATTTTGGCTCTTTTTGAAGAAACAGCAAAGATCAAGTTATTTTTCAGCACTTTATATTCCCTTAATTTATCTATAGTACCAAATAGTATAGCATCTAAACAAGTTGAACAGGACATAACTAACTAATAATGTAATGGCTACATTGACACAGGTGAGGTAAATATGGAAAATCTTCCTGGTCATAGAAATGTGCAGGAATTTTATGTTCAATTTGAATTGTGGAAAATTGAAATTCTGACAAAAAAATTCAGCAAATATCAACTGGTGTGTGTGAATGTGTGTGTCCATGGTATAAGACCCTAATTATCCTGTGTGAATACGCAATGAGTGGCTGTCCATCTTTCTAGATCCCTATGGTTATTACAGATGGCCTGACCTCCTATTTGTCTCAGTCAAATATATTTCATTTTTTTTAAAAACCATTGTAGATGTAATAACATCAATTTCAGTTTTCTTATCTCATATTAATACCATCACAGGAAGAAGAGGTACTAAATAAAGATGATTATTGAAATAACCAACTAAGTTATTGTTTGCAGTCATGAGGTACAAGAGTTCTTCTGCCTGAATGATCCTCCTGGACCTTATGACAGCTTGGAAGAAAGCAGAGTGAGTTGGAATGATTAATTTAAAACACTTTGATAGGATTTTATTGACAAGTCAGTTAATTAGTAGCAAAAACAAGATGCTGAAGCATTTAGCAGTGTCGCATTTTTTCTAATGTGGAAATGGCTCACTTTTTCTATTTAAACAATAATTTTTCAGTCTTTGTTACTCTTTGAAAAATACTTGAAGCTTTAAAAGGTTTATGCTTTTGTAATGGTTTACTTAACACTTTAATTCAATCTTGTATTCATAGTTACTCTAGCCCTAGAATTTTAAACTTTTCACTCCCAAAATCTCATCAGTAATTGTCCTTGCTGTCTGTCTCACTTTACTTATAATGTTACTATAGGAGCTTGGTGTTGGATCAAATAATCATCACCTAGTTTATATTTTTTTTTATTCTTATCACCTGCCTCTTTGATATTGTATCAATGTTGTAAGGAGAAATTAGTTTCAGATCATTGCTGGTAGTGAAAGGTTTATAGTCTCTATGATAATGGTGTTTTTATTAGGCCTACTGTCAGCACTTGGAAAACCAAGCTGAGGACTTGAAACAGAAGGTGGATGAACTAACGGCAGACCTCAATATGACAAAATCACAGCTCTTACAAGCACGAGTGCAACAGGAAGCTCTTGTAAGTGCTCTTAGATCAGAGCGAACACTGAGAAAGCAAGGATTGAAAGGAAATGAAAAAGATTCATCCAGGACCGATGAATTGATAGAGAAAAATGAAAAAATGGCACATGTTGATAGTCTAAAAGGAAAAGTTTGCCACTTGTTGTCAGATTATCAAACCAAAAGCAAGGGAAGGGTGTCAAGTACCTCAGAAAATGAACCTGAACCTGGTGAAGATCAATCATTTTGGGTGGGAAGTGTGGAGATTGCAGAGCATTCAGATGGAGCTGATAGAATGAGGTCATCTAATCTGGCCAGGCGGCTTTCAACTGAGCAGAGAAATCCTCGCACATCCACTCCTGTGTCTAGTCATAACAGCCCAAGCTGTCTGGAACCTTTGCAACAGGATAATCAAAAAGACCTTGGAGTATCTCAACAGACTGATGAAAAGAGTGAAAACTCAGAAGTGTTGCAGAGTAGTAGTGAGAAAGGGGAAATAAATAACACTGAGGGAACTGCCAAACATCCATCGAACAGGAAGTCAAGAGATCAATCCAGTAAAAGAGACAGTGGAATAAGTGTTGATACCTCACCAACGCCTAGCACGTAAATTAATTTTATTAGGGGAATTGTAAGTATGACGTGGATTTTGGAATCCTCATAGATTGTGTATTTGAGTGTAATAGTACATTCTTCTAAACAGTCTGCTTTGTAGTTTATGAATTCCTTCTAGGGAATTCTTTAGTGGATTTTTAAGTGTAATTCTGCTAAGTACTGCCCCAAATGGAGCTAAGATAAAAAATTTTTAGAATTAGTTTTGGGTATTTATGCTTCTGGAATGATTTTTTTGAATGTGTTGAATTGCAATCTTTTTCCTTTTCAGGGAAACTGAAATTTTCTTGTTTAGTTTGTATCATTTCTGTAAAAAGCAGCTTTGAGGAAAAAAAAACCTTTTTCAATCAGATAAAAAAATGAAACTGGCAATTTTTGGAGAGTTTACTACTTTCAATAAACTCTCTAGGGGTAATCAACACTGAAATATTAAATGCCGAATTATTTGGCAAATTCCCAGGCTTATAAGTTGCCAAACACTAGTTAGATTTAAATGTGCCTTGTAACTTGGGCTACCAATGCAAAAGCTCAAGTTTAAAATTTGGTTACAGCTGTAGTCTATCTTCCTAAAAGGCACTGCCAGCATTTCTTTGCACACCCTACTCATCTAATTAAATCGATCAGCCAATGAGCTTTAACTGCACAATTTTCATTTTCTTTTTTTTTTTTCACATCCACATCAGATTCACAACAGAATTGAGTTTGTTCCTAAACCTGAATTTATTTTGTTCAACAATGTTTAGAAAAATAAATTTTAAGGTGAAAATTCATGTGTTTAGGTGAAGAGAGATTAAAAGAACTCAAAATAAGTCAATTAGAAGATGTTTTTAGTCTCAAAAAATTCATGTGTTTAGGTGAAAATAAGTCAAAATAAGTCAATTAGAAGATGTTTTTAGTCTCACTGCATGAGATTGCTCTGAAAGCTCCCAACTGAAGAAAAATGTTTGTTTCATTTTTAACATTTTTTGAGTGTCAGCTGCCATTAAGATTGCAGTTGCTTTTACGTGACTGTACGATATGGTTTAAATTTTCTCTTTACAATTTTATGATGATGGTTAACTAGTTCCCATTGGAGGAAAACAAATACCTACAGTTCAAAACTCAATTAACATAGCCTAATGCATTTAAAGCTGCAGTTTACTGTTCATATGCATTAGTTGCTATTATTGATTGTAGTTGAGCATAGCAGGAGCAATCATGGGTTGAACTATGAAAGTTTTAGGTTTTTAGGTTTGTAACTACAGCCATAGGCTTTGGTAAATAAATATATTTTAAGAGAAATATTGAATAGAGCATATGCACTTATTAAATAAAAAGCAGAATACTTGTTTCCAGAACAAAAGGAAATGTTTGTATGAACTAAAATTTAACTTCAGCATGATGGAATTGAGAAAGCAAAATGGCAGTTGAGGTTAAAATAATTCATTCTTTTATAATTTTTTAAACCAGTTTGATTTTCTTTGAGATGTGCTCATTGATCTTCATTGTTACAGGGTTGTCAAAATTAGGTGGCAACCATACATTTCAACTTCTCTTGCTAAAACACACTGGCCATTCCAAATGCTTGTGGCCTAATTTTCAGCATGGATGCATGACATCGATGGAAATAAAACTGGTTTTTTAGTGCTGTCCACCTTGCATCACAGTCTCTTCACAGCCCAGTTTTCATAATCTGATAAAACGTAGAATTAAAGATAAACTCTTTTGAAAGAAAGGACATATTTATTTTCCCCTCAGTATCTTGGTAAGCATACACCAATTTTGGTATACTGATGCCATGTGCATATGCTCTATTATCAGTTTTTATTCTATTTTAATAGTTTATTGCATAGTTAGCTTTTAGTAAAGATTATAATACATTTTGTAGATAATTTAAGAGTTCTTCAGGCATAAATAAATTAGCTGTTTAAATGGTCTTGTATTGTGATTTCAAAGTTGATGTATTTGGCTCTGAGTTAGAGAAAGACACTTGATAGGCAGCTCTTTGTGTAACAGTCCCGTTGCTCTGGTAAACGATTTAGTGCTTCTGCTGGTGAGGTAATAATAGTTTGATAGACAATGAAATTTAAGGTTTTCCTTACTATTCATTCAAAACTTGCAGGTGTAGTTGCTTTTAATCCTGATTCATCTGGTAGAGCTATCACCCAAAGATGTAAACTAAGGATAGTAAACCCTTATACATTCCTTAGACTATCAGTGTTACCCAACTACCATTTTTTGGCCAGTGCCTTATGAACTTAATGGTAAAATATGCTTTGACTGTCCGGTCTGGCTGTACTTACCCGCAGGTGAGATGGTTGATTATACATGAGACCAGGGAGAGTAAGATTTCAGGGGGAGGTGGAGGTTTCGTTCGATTTTTGTATTTCATGTACGTGACATTTTGTCGTTTCGCCTTATTTAAGACATTTATGCCTTGTTTTAG